GAACTCCTCATGTACCAAAAAAAAAAATATCATCTCTGCATGGTCGAAATTTGCTTCCTCAAAATTATATCTATTTTGAAAAGAAAAATTGCAGCTATAAAATAAGTGGTCTTATGTAAATTGTAGAGCTTTTCACGCTGCATCTTATGCTATAATTTATGGAAAAAATTTCTGAAAAATTTTCATATTTATATTAATAGAAAAAATGCCGCGAAATTTCTTGTCATACCTTATTTATAAAAATAGTCAAGGGCGTCGTACATTTGATAATCTCTTTTCGCAGATAGAACAGTTGCAAAATATATCAAACTATTGTTTTAAATCCTAAAGACCCGTTACGTCCAATGGACATTTGGTTCAAAATTCTTTTTGCTGAAATATTATTACATTTCATCCTTTGTTGAATTTACACATGAATCGTATTCCTTGATGATTAGAATTTATCCTCAAAACTACGAGAATCACATCGCGATGAATCCAATGTTTATTGGATGACAGATATCATGGCAAAATTGATTTTTAATTAGACCTAAAACCTAGAAATAATTTTCTTTTTGTTTAGTGATGAGTTTCAAGTGTTATTTGAATTTAAAAAAATGTGTATATCTATTGTATATTGCCAGAAAGATAATGTATTTTCACTTAGTTCAGAAGTTATGTAGCACCAAGAACTTCTTTATCGATTTAGTAAAATCGTTTTCAAAAATATTCTCATGAACAAGTCAACGAACAATACTTTTTCAACACGATGATCTTCACGAGATCTTTTCCTATGTGGACAGATGTTAACAAAATGTATATATGTTGAATATAGTGTTGAACTTTATAACTTACTAAAGTTAGCTAAACTTCAATTTCAATTGAACCTAACTTCGTATAAATATATAAGATTAATGTTTTATCTCATGTTTTTCATTTTTTCAAATGTGCAATTCTTGTCATAGCTCTGTTTACTTTAGACTAAACTTTAATTCTGAGTGACATTTGATTGCATAGAGTTTCTATATATTTAATTATTTACTGCAAAATTTGTAGAAACTTAAATCTCATCTATCTGCGCTGTTGTAATCGAAAGGTAAATGTTCGATGAATAAATTGATTGATAAGACTCATTTTAGCATTCTTCATCCAAAAGTAAAATACGATAGTAGCTCGATATCTGGAGGCAAGTAGTATACGGTTGGTTTTAATACTAATATGCGCTACGATAAAAAATATTATTAGGAAAAATTATTAGATATCTTCCAGTCAAGCACAAGCCCTCATTGCTAAACTAATAAAAACTAAAAGAAACGCCTGTCCTTTTATATATTGACGGAGATAAACATGTTCAATTTTCTAAGAATACTTAATTTACGTTCAGATGCATGAATGAAGAGCCTTTTCTCATTGTTGATTCATTGTTCATAGATTATTTTCATACAGTGACACAGTAAAAGAACTCCTTTTAAATTTTAAATGCTGCTTGTACGAGAAAAATTCAAGTCAGTTTTATTTACAGGGTACGGTTGTGGGTGTGAATTAATACTAATGAAACACATCCACACCCACAAAAAGAAATATCATACTTTTGAAGAACAGACTTTGATCTGTTGATTGATATTGAACAATAGATGTATTGAACACGCTTTTTGGTTTAAAATGTTAACAAAAGAAAAATTTTGAAAAAATGAAAATATTACATAAACTGCCTGTTCACGTCAAAAAGAAAGGTATATGTAACTTATCTATTTAAAATTCAAAAGTTTTCATTATCCGACTCATGTGGAACTCACTTGCAATGTGCCTACTTATAGGTACCTTTGTAGGATAGGATTTTTTTTTGTTTACATGTACAATTATGAGAATAACTCTACTCTATCTATGATGAATTATTTTTCATAGGCGATGTTATTAAAAAAATTGTTACAGGTCTTATTTTTTGAAATAGATAACAATATCATTTATAAAAATGACTTGAATTCAACAAACCATTGTTAGGTGCCGAGTTTTTAGAGTTTAGACTGTAATATATCAGTTATTTGATAGAGTAAAAAGAGAAAACCTCCAAATAACAAATAGCGTCACCCTTTAATATTGTTGCAGTGTGACAGAAATTTTATCCTAGTGCACTTTTGAAAATGCATAAATTTATCATCAATGCTCTGCTTTTTTTTTGTAAGTGTTTGAATTAAGAAAGCATGAGAGATCAGAGAATTTCCATGTTAAAATTGCTACACAGTGAGTTCACAAATGAAAGAACGGTTACTATACTGTATAATGTGCTATTATTACTTTGTTATTCAATTGTTAGATCCCGCTTTGCCTAAACAAGATCCAACATCATCAAATACCAGGGGCGAATCCAGGAGGGTGAGGCCACACTCTCCTTTCAAATTTTTGTATGTTGTACTCGTGTTATGTTCGTTTTATTTTCGCTAATTTTTCAAGGACAAGAGAGTATAATTCACTATTCTGTGGTTTGTAGTACTTATATTCTGAAATTAACGAAACACGAGAATAAATATAACTTAGATATACATGCAGTTAGTTTTCTAGTTCATATACTCTGGAGACGGATTCGCCCTATAAATTCGCTGAATCCTATCTTTTTGAAAAATTCTATATTTTGTCCTATATTTTCATCTCTTGTCCTGTTATACCGATATGTTATTAAAAAAGATATACAAATACTCGAAAACATGGAATATCTATCGTCTATAGTTCTGACGGAATTTCTCTTTTTCTTCTATCAATTGGATTGAATGAAAAATGCCAAAATTCTATAAATATTATATATTAATAAGAAAGTAAAAGAATGTTTACAAAATCATCAGTAACCTTGGAGACTGTTTTTGGTTTCAGACTAAATTATTGCAAAACATGGGCTAATAAGGCATCATCTTTCACTATGTAATAGGGACCAAAACAGTATAGCAGGTATCCAAAGACTCCAGCTGAATATATGTATGAAATTCAAAACACAAATATTCTCAATCTCATTTTCTTATACTAAATCTATGATAGGGATGATTGAAAATGATTTTTATTGATGTTTTTCAACGGAAATTATAACCAGATAATAAAAATTTGTTATGAATTATTTAAAATTTAGCGTCAAAAGGTGAAGAAAAGATTTATAGAAACTGATATTCGTAGAACCTGGTGAAAACTATTTTTGATCAATTGAAAAACTTCAGTGCATTAATGGATTTTACTATTATTTACAAAAGGCTCGGAGATTACTGACGAGAAAAATTCTGTACGTAGAAGTTATACATTGTAAACATTTATTTCAATTAATGTGTGTCTGTTCTCGATACCACAACTCACATTATGAGCCTAAATACTGAAAAAGTTGTGGAATTTAATCCAAACAGTATCTCATCGTCCTTTCGTTGTGAGTTTTCTCAATTTTGTTTCTATCGCTGTTCCATAAACATAATATCAAAGAATTCGAAAAGATGAACGCGAATAGCTTATATTGAACTGACTCAGTTAATAGCTCAGTTAATATATGGTCAGAAAAAGTATAGCATTTATATCTCAAAATGCAGCTTATGCTAAACAATTGCTCTAGATTGTAGAAACTAAATATGAAAGATAGTAGAACAATCTATGAGTTACCAATATCTGTTTTTTCAATAGAAACAGTGCGTGAAACAATTCTATATTTCTTTCATTTTTTATCGAAAAATCCTAATTTTTGAGAAAACCTAATCCTATACAAATTTTTCTTTTCCGAAAAATTACAATCTGAGGCCAGTATGTAATAAAAATATTTTTTTTCTGAGATGTGACCACTTCTCTTGTCATACAGTTGACGAGTATTGTAAAATAACATTGAATTGAGGGTGTGAATTTGATCTATCACCCAAAGTATGCATGTAGAGATCCATTTCTCATTCTCCCACAACAACATTCACACCCTGACACGGACACCCATAAATTATAGAATTCCTTGAATGATGTAAGTTCTAACATTGATAATAAAGAATAAAAAAAAAAGTATCGCGAATAATCTCAATGTTTCTTTACGTTTCGTGCACCGCATCCCCTTTCAAAATTTTCTGGGTCGGATAAATCCTATTCACATATTCCATCGATGAATCTAAGATATTTATGCCTGAATTGCCATCGGAACAAATACTGCCTATTGCAGATGAAAGTTTCGAACTGTGCATTGGTGATGTGCAAATTCAAGATAATGCGCATGTCGCTGTACATGACCCATGACTAAATAGGGGTGAGGTTAGCGGTAAACAAGAATATTCATTCGGAAAACATCAGTTAAGACTAAAAGTTGAGAAAAATTCTTCTCGAATGTTATCCGTCATTGGTATTATCTCTAAGTTGGAACCTATAAAACCGAACTCTTATAAAGCTCGATCATCCTATGATCGCTTTTATCAGAGTGGTGTTCTTCAGGAAAGTGGTGATTCATTTTCTATTTATGGGAATTGGGAGAATGATATAATCGAGCTAATAATCAAGACGAGTAAACAAACACTTCGGTACACAAATGAACAAACCAAACAAACACAACAAATGAAGGTAGACATAAATAGATGTTCATTTCCTTGGCAATTTCATGTCAATCTTTGTAGTGATGGAGATAAATTACGTCTACTAAATTACAAAAATTGATCATAAAATTAGTGTATTTCAATTTTAATTTCAATTTCGCGAAGAAAAATATCATAGATACTTGCATTTTTTCTAAAAGATTAAAACAAGAAGAAGAAAATTACACCTGTTTTGAGACTAGGGTCTGAATGTGGATGATCAATAGCCACATCCACACCTCACCCTATATATGTTAGACCTCATGAATAGTGTTTGAATGCAGAAATCAGCGTTACTTATGATCTAGATGTAGAAAAGAAGCGAAATCACATTGATTCGCAGAAAGACTCACATCCATACCCACTCCGTGAATCTCAAATCGATAGCTTTATTTTTAAACAAACTTTATTCTCGATAGTATTAATATTTTTAATTGAATATCTTTATTATCAATTCTATTCAGTTATGGTTCCATAAGTTTTACATGAATTAAGAATAATGCTACCAACATGTGATGATATAGGTGCTTGAAAGTCATTTCGATTTTCAATTAATTGTTTAATAAATGTCAATGGATTCAATGTGAATCGAGTTTGATTCATAAATAAGCAACGACGATGATTTGAATCACTAACAAATCCATCGGCTGCAATCCAACCGTTTTCAAAAGCTGCTTTTTCAGTAGAAGTTCGTGGCTGAGGACATCCCTAGTGAAACATCTTGTAAGTAAGATCTTGGAATCTTGCTTATCAATAACCAAGATCTTGCTAAGATCTTTAACAGATAATTCTTCTTTTTTTGCAAAATTATTTCTTGATAAGATCAGATGCATCTATACCACAGATCTTAATAAGATATGTTCAAGATTTCGAGACGTCAAGATCTTGGAAAAGAATTTGAATTCTAATTATCTTTGTCCAAGATCTTGAATAAAAAAAAAGCGACATCACTAATTTATTCACAAAATCAAATATTCTCAAATTGTTCACAATTAGTTGCAGAAAGACATGTACAGTTGATTCTTGGATGGCAGAAAACAAAAAAAATTTTGCAACGGTTTTGTTGTCGACGAACCAATAAAATGAAAGAATCAACAACAAAGATGGAAAAGAAAGATAATGCAAACCGTTATTTGCATAAAATATAAATCAACTTTAGTCGACTATCTAATCGTATTTATTTTTAATGTTATGCTAGTCTTTTAGAAGTTTTATTCAAAACGTTTAATCAGTAGATAGATAGCTAGTTTTGAAAGGTGAGTACTAATTGGTTAGGGGCAAAATAAATTCGTTAGCATTCTTTTAGCAATGATTCTGCATAGCTGAAGCTTAAATTATTTTATTCTTCCATCGTCATGTTTTCTCATCTGTCAGTGGCTCTTTAAATATAAAAACAATAAAGGCACGAGATACACGGTGTTAGTTGTCTACGAAAGCCATATACAACTTAGAGCGTAGAATTATAAGACTTAAATATTTTAGAATATGCTAATAATAGTATCAAAATTGTTTCCTTTTTTGTTGTATGGTTTTTTATTCGTTTTTTCTTTTATAACATTTATTTTAGATGAATACTTATTGCTCCAAAAGTAAGACCCAGTACACACGAGAATGTATGCGAGAACGTCGTTCAAGAAATCATGCTGAAGATATATCTCGAATAATTCGTCAGTACAAAGAAAATGAAGATGCTGCTATGGATATGTCAAATACGATAGACCATGTACCTGTTGATACTACAAATGATCTTCCAATTACAATGATTGATTGTTCAACTTCTTCTTTTGATTCTGAACATTCAGATGAATTCGAAATAAATTCCGACGATATTACTGATGACGACGTCGATGTGGAAGCTGAAAGTGATGATGATGGTGTCGACATCGATGCTGAAGAATTTATAAATATGTATGACTTGAACAATCAAACCAAATTATTTACATCAAGTTCCTTGTCTGTGCGCGATGCATGTTTTATTATTATTAAATTAGCTCGACGCTTAAAGAAGTACTCGAATCGAACGAACCAATATTAAAAAGTAAATAAATTTACAGCTTTACATATAATTATCTTTACGTTTCAAGTGTCTTTAAAGATGTCAATCTTTTTTATTCCAATTTTTCATTTGTTTCTGAGCTTAATGCTTCATGATTTTTAATTGTGAAGAATCAATGATCTGGGCGAGTGAAATGTTATTTTAAAAATTGAGAAACTATTAGTAGTTTTATTTAATAATTCTCTATAAAAACATAATATTTTCCATGAGAATATATGCAAGATAGATACGATACATTTTTTTTCTTATATCGCAAGATGAGAATAACTTGCACGAATGAAAGATTGCATTTTGAGGCTTTGTAATATATTCTGACTATTGTTTGATAATATTTGGAAACAAACAATTGAATATGTCTTTTGTTTCAGAGTTCATTCAACAGAAGTGCCTCATTTTGGACGAATATTTACCACATACTTGGTCACGAATTATGAATTCAATGGCTCAAATGCCATATGATGCTGTTAAATATAAACCAAAATCAAATAACAATTCATTATCACAAACACCAAAATTAAATGATACAACAACAACAACAATTGCATTATCTCCAATTAATACAAATGAGAATGAACCATGAGAATAACAGCATCCAATGATAATTTAAATTTTATTCGTTTGAGATTTAGAAACAGTTATACTAAATTAGAGTAGATCCATAAGTTTTTTAATGTTTTGTAAACTGTGATTTTTTTTTCATTTCTAAGTAATCCATTTGGTTAGATATTTTTGAGCTTATGATAATCAGGAAGAAATTAACAGTTATTTGTGAAGGTTTTCATTGTAATGATGTGTGTTTATGAAAATATTGTAACGTACATTACAAACAGTTATAATAAATAGACAGTAAGATAGTAACTTAAGATCTTGAAAATTTTAATGATCATTAGACAAGATCCAATTATCTGTACCAAAGATCAAGTGGAAAAGATCATAAAAGACAAGATAGTAGAGAAAAGATCTTGATTGTCTGTTATCAAGATCTTCCACATCTGTACCCAAGATCTAAATAAAGATCTTGGGTACAAGATAATGCAATTATCTTGTATCTAAATTTTCAAGATCTACTCACATTTCTGTACCCAAGATCTTGGCCAAGATCTTACTTACAAGATGTTTCACTAGGGATAAACTTAAACATTGACAATAAGCTATTTGCTCGTCAACTGTATCAAAATACAATGTACCATTGAAGATAAATAACAGAACTAACCATTCATTTGATATGAAGTAAGGAATGATTCTATTTGAGGGTTCTATTAGAGAAGGAATTGTGAGAGTTGGAGTGTTGATAAATATTGATTGAAATCGCTTAATACGTGGTAATAATAAGCGTAGGGTGGTTACTGGTGATTTGTTAAATTTCAAGTAACTCATCAAACAGTTAGCTTCAAAAGCAGTTATAAAAATAATATGTTGATTTCGATAGACAACAATCCATCGTGGAGGACGCATAAATGGATCTAACGATACTTCTTTTGTCTCAGTTACACGCTGAAATTCGGTAGAGATCCAAAAATTTGATGGCCAGCTATTTGGCTGACACTGCTTAAAAAATTTGGTACCAGTAAAAGCATGTGGTAATGGATGAAATACATTAGATAATCCTGGCAGATTCATAATTTGAGTATTTGTATCGCACAATTGAATGATTTCCATATATAGTCTGGGACAACATGGCTTGGCAGGTAGAGGTTGTGCTAATTGTCGTTCTTCTTCCAATTCATGTTCTAGTTCTCGTTGTTGTTCTTCATCTAGCAATTGAGATAGACGTTGTTTTTCTCCACCATATTCGTACAATCGTTTTAGTACAATATTGTCCATGATTGTTGATAAATGATGATTACATTGTTGACATCGGGCAATATAAATTTTTTCAATTGTCTCTAATATTTTAGCTGGGCCATACATTTGTTTCAAGTCAATTATTTCTGGTTCCAAACATTCGTTAACCAATTTTTTCATCATTGTGCTGGTAATCGATTGATGTTGATTATTCCATTGAATTTCTTGAAATGCATGAACTTTTCGTTGGAAACTTAGACTTTGCCTAGCCCAATGATGTAATCCATCCCAAGTTGATTGTTTTGTATTTTCATAGACCCAACGAAGAATATCGATAAGATTAACAGACATATGAATCGATTTGCTTTTATTTTTAATATGTGAACGTTTTCTTAATGAGATTATTTGTTGATGAACTTCATTTGAACTCCAAAATGTTAAAGAATGTCCTTTTCCTAATTTTCTCATTCTCATACAAGCTTGAACAAAACGATCTTTTGTTAAACCATTTCCTAAAGTAACTGCAGCTTGAAAGCCATTTGGAAATTTAAAATCAGTTCCTCTCGTATGAATTTCATCTAAATAAAATACACAACGATCTAGTCGTTCACTTGCAGGTGATGTTTCAAATCGATAATGATGATATTCACGATCACAAACAACAATAGAATCTGAATCAAAATAAATAGCATAATCAATCTTATTTTTATTGGATAGATTTAACCATTTAACAGCTATATCTCGGTTAGTTCCATCTATGAATAGTGCACCAATATCTAAAATAACATTAATAGTTGTTTTGTAATTTATTATTTGATTTAAAATATCTTCCAAGGTCGAATTAAATGGTAAATATTCATAAGTTTCATTTTCTGGTTGTAGTAAATTATTAATAACGATGGCATCAGTTTTTTGAAGTTCGACTAAATCACATTGTTCAATATGAACTGGAAGCAATAATTGTGTGTCATTAGTACCACTAAATCCAGTTACTATCTTTGATCGTAAAGATGACGCTAAATCCCAAGGTGATGCTACTAATTTATGAGGAAATTGTTTTGCTTCTCGAGGAAATACAAAATTATTTAAAAAATAATCGATAACTATCATATTATACCGTAGAGTCGGAAAAAGATCATGAGTTCGTTGTTGATAATCTTTTAAATTAATTCCTTTCCATAATTTGATACTTGTTGGTACACTATATTGCTCTTCGGCTAAGATCCATTGTTCATAGATAGATCTAGGATCAGTTTCTTTTTCAGTCAAACGATCAAAGCATTGAATCAACTGTGAATCACTGAGACCAGAATAATAATATGAGAGTTGTGTTAATACTAACGCAACATCAGGATGACCGAATTCAGTTCTGTCAGCAGCAACATCTTTTGCACGAAATGGTACAGCCATTAAACGATGAAATGAAGAATTTGATGTGACACCATAATTAACTCGATACCGTTTTTTAAAAGCAACTAATAAAATTTCTGATGATAATAAACCACGAACAATAAGAAATTGTTGAATATCATATTGTGAATACTTATTACCTAGTTGTTCAATAGATGAGTTCGTTGTTAAAATGAATGATAAGATTATTTTTTTATCTTCATATCGATAAGATTTTTGATCAAGCCAATCATTAGCTACAATTTCACATAACAATGAATATGGTTGCTGTGATTGTAAACGAAATTCTGGAAAAGCACTTTTTCGTGGAGGAAATTTATAGCAAACTTGTTCATTGAAACGTTTTGATATAGATATAGCATGTTTTTTGACTAAATGAAGTATTATCTGAATAATATTCCAACGTTCTGCACCTCCATCAACGTTTTGTTGATTACCTACAGTATAAACAAGTTGATATTTGACATGAAGAATTTCATCAGATTCATCTAATACATCACGAGCAAATGATTTTAACCATCGTTGAACTGTCAACATACAATGACCAACATTAAATTCATTTCGACGGCACTTATCTATAGTAAGCAAATCAAAAGATAATATATCTTCTGGTGAAGTTAATATGATATCACAATTATATAAACCTTGTTTGAAACGATTATAAATATGATTAATTTGTTTGTCATTGAAATCCATATCACGACGACATAAAAAGGGAAATATGCGTCTATTTAATAAACCACCTAGTTTACATCGTAATGATTGATAATTTGTTGGAAATAAAGATTTAAGAACTACTATACGAACTAAACTAGAATTAGATGAAGCTAAACTAGCAGCTAACATTGGTAAAATAACAGACGTTTTGCCTTCTCCCATATTCATTTGCATTACCAAATTTTTGTTTACTTTAGTTTGATCTGTTGTCATATTTGTTTGCATCATATGACGTGCCACATCTGTTTGAATTTCTCGAATGGTTATATTCATTTCCAGTTCTAAGATTAACCAAGAAACATGTTCAAATGGTTTCCAATTTGAATGTGGTATAGTTGAGATTTCCTTTAGAAAATCTTCTAATTTATCATGAATAGCATAATACAAGGCTCTTTCTAACTGCTGCTCTAATGTCCAACAGACGAGAGTACCACCTAGTAATGTAAGTTGATCATTATTTAAAGGAATATTTTCAATATTTTGTTGTAAGACAGCGATGAGGTTTGTCGGAGTGATTCGTGAGATTAAACCTATTTCAAATAATTGTTCATTGAATGTTGTAATAGATTCTATTAATACATTCCAGCTTTGTATGGATTCTGTCTGCAAACAATTAAGATGTTCTTTAATTTCATCGATCGAAGGATCTTCTTTTCGAATCTGTTCATCCAACAAAAACTTTTTCCAACTTTGATTTAATTGATTTTCAAAATAATTGCCAATTTCACTCAAATTATTCTCTTTATGATTGATAGAAGGGAAAATATGATTTGGAAATTTCATCTTTTGATTTTCAGTTTGAGTAGATATTTTTGATTTATTAAAATGACCTGTATAAGGAAAATAAAATTTTCTATAAGCACTTTCTAACAGCTTTTTATCAATTAATTTGTTCACCGGCTTGACTTGTACTTGATAGTGGTCTTCAACTAATTCAACTGCGAACTTCTGAGGATTATATAATATATTGTTACAGAACTGTTCTATTGGAGCAGTACAAAGTAGATTTTGAATAGATTCTAAGAAAGAACGAAGCTTTCTATTATTTCCCCAAGACGTTAATAACTTATTAAACTGAAGTCTTTCACTAGAAGTGATCAGTTTACTTTTGTCTTCATAATAATTATTATTCTGCCAAGAATGTTCGATTTCTGCTAGTATTCGATTCCGTATGTCTGAAGTATAATCATTCGATAGATTGATTCGCTTCCTTATAACTGAAATTTCTTCAATATTCGAATAGTCGATGAATGGAGGAAATGTGACAATAGTCATTAATGCAGCAGGCATTTTCAATGCTTTTTTAAGCATTTGAAAATAAAATGGTTTCGCTTTAAGTTTGGCGCAGGCGTAATAAAGAAAATTGATTAGCTTTTCACACTGCTCGAATTCTTCTTGATTGTTTAATATTGTTGTTACCTTGAGATTATGAATCATTTTTAATAAACCAATCCATATAGTTTTCAAATTGTTTTCATCATTAAACCATTGTGACAAAGGTAACCAATGTTGCCGAGAACAATCTTTAAGGTTAACATTTCCATTCTTGTACAAATCATCAATAGGTCGAACAACGGTGTGATTAATGGCATATGAACAAGAATTTGGCGTTGGTTGCTATGGTGTTACGTATAATGAGCACAATATATTTTCTTCTATCTCTTTGGGTAATCTAGCGATAGGATTGTATGAATCTCGATAATTCCAATAAAGTTTTTTTAATAATGATTCATTATACAATTTGTTTTCAAATATTTCAGGCATCTTAGTAGAAATTGATGGTGAATACATGAACTCCAACTGTTGACTTGTTTCAATTAGTCTTTTTGCTAACAAATAATATCCGAAATGTTGCATGGAATAAGGTATACCGTTCTTATTCCAATCGATTTTTTCCATATAAGTCAGATGTTCTGGATAGTAATCTACTTTTGGTGATATGGCAGCAATTTGACTCAACATATTTAGAGAAAGTGAATCGAAAGGTTGATCTGACCAACAACCAGCTGAATTCAATAATTGAAAAGCGCGTTCCATTCCAGTCATTCCAGTATATTGATCTGGTAAAGTATGAGATGTCATTGCATGTAACAATGCTAAATAAAGCCAACCAGTAGGACTATCAGTCGATTGTAAAATTTTTAATCGATCATTTAAAATAAAAACAAAATATTGATGAAGAAAAGATACTGACGATGAACGGTGTATAATAACAGTTTGATAATCGATGTTGGATGTCTTTTCACTATGTAATTCTCCAAACGGTACGATCAATTTTCGATATGGATAACATTCCATTTTACGTTTGTTGACAGATAATGGTGATAAAAGAAGGCCAGACATCAAACCTGTTAAACTTCCGAATAATTGATGTTCATCAATACACATATATGAATATTCACGAGATATAATTATGTTCGTTCTAGGATCGTATTGAAAAGCAATACCTAAACGTGATAAATGGATATGAACGATAAAATTTGTCTGATCAATATTATTCAGCATCATATATATATAAGGTTTATCATCAAGACGACTAAAGTATCGATTAAATAAACTTTGAAAGAACACTGATGATTGATTGATCAATATTTGTGGATTAAATTGTTCAGTTGTAGTAACATATCGTCTATTGATGAACATTATATAAGATTTATTATTTAAAAAATTAATATCTTTAAAATGAATGGGACGAAACTCAATTGTTTGATTTTTCGAATTCCACCAATGGCTGTAATTGGAGACAAACATATCTGGCAGTTCATTCTTAAAAAAACTATGAGGAATCAATTGAAGAATATCATTTGTATGTATGTACTGTTCTTTAATAATCAATTGATTAATTCGATTATTGAAATAAAATTCGTATTGAACAAGTCCATTATCATGATATGAATGTTTAGTAATGTATGTATTAGATGAATCAGCCACTTGAACTTCAAAGATATGATCATCAAATACACGAACAAATGTTTCATGAAAGATGATTTTATCAGGTAAAAAGCCTATTGTCATATTATCGATTAAGAAAGTTCCGCTTATACAATCAATTGATATAACTCTTGACTCATATTGACAATCGTACCAACCATCATATGGATTTTCTGTTCGTTTTGTCCATAATCCATTCATGCTACCTTTTCTTTTCGTGACTGCCCAGTAGATCACTGTAAATTCATTTAAACCTTGATAGAATGTTTTTTGTAGAAATTTGGCAACCGTTGGTTGTATCATTACTATGACGTATTCACTAAATCTCATCATATTTCTTACAAAAGTACTTACATTGACCCGATGTTTAGTTAATATAATATTATCATGAACAGTAGTTACTGCTTTTATTAAGGATACAATATGTTCATTCGATGACAATAAAAGATTGATTCGTTGTTGATCGGTTAAAAATGTTAAGATACAAGATACACCAACAGTTACCATTTTTAGACGAAGTTTTTCTATTTCATCCAAAGCTGATGGTGATGTAGTTTGAATACTTTTGGAAATAAGATCAATCCATCCCAGGTCGATCGTTCCGGCCACCGGATATTGCAGGAACCGGCAGGAAAATGCGGGAAAAATCACCGTATCCTGCAGGAAAACACCGGAAATAGCCGGAACATGGAAGCAGTAGTCCGGCCGGAAATTCTCCGGATTTTTTCCGGTGAATTCCGGCCAATTTCCTGTGTTTTCCGGCAGGAACCGAGCGGAAAATCAGCGGAAAAGATTCCGAAAATTTCCGGCCGGAATACTGCTTCCATGTTCCGGCTATTTTCGGTGTTTTCCTGCGGGAACTGGCCGGTACTTTTCGACCTGGGATTTCTCACCAATTTTACGACATTTTAGTATTAAATTAACAGTTTTATTTTCCATATTTGTATTACAAATGCTTAAAATTCTCATCGTAATGACAACTAATACCAATTCATTTTGCCAATTCAATTGACAATCATCTAAATGATGATTCAATCTTACGATTAATTCGTTGACAAAATGATCTTCTAACAATTGTTGGTGTGATTCTGGACACCAAGATTCAGAGAAAGTTTTTGATTCTGAAATCAATGGACCATATTGTAATATTGAATGTATAATAAGTATTGCTACACTCTCTTCAGCAAAAGATAATGAGTCCATTTCAAGAATTGTCAAAAGATTCCACCATTGTAAACGATGACCTGAACGAAATGAACCGAATTCTATAATCTGTGAAGGTTTCAAACGTGTTGAATAATTAGATAATTGAGCAATCACATCATTTTGAACAAATTGTGTAGTGCTTACAGTAAATTGTAATTGTTTGTAATCTGGATGATTAAGCTGGGGCGTCAATATACGAACTTCATCTTCGAATCCAATTGGTTTCGTCGGTGAAATCTGAATCTTCAGACTATTTTCGAATAGAAAACCTTCAATAGATGTGTGTGCAATTGATGGTGGAGTAGAGTAATGAGTTTGACTAATAGACTTCGTAGAAGATACTAATCTAACTTTGTGATTATTAAAACCGGTACAGAACGATTTTAATTTACTACCATGAGAAGGAACATTCAACCATTCATACATACAATTTTCTAGGTGTGAATTAGAACGATTCGTAAATTGCCAAATGATATCTCGATAACATCGTATTTCAATGGGCATTTGTAATTCAAAAATAACAGCTAATGCGCTTTCATGTGCCAATGGCATTGGACATTCGTATACTTTTACTTTAATTTGGTTCGCTTCTTTTAAGGTTTTACATCGTTGACATCGTTTCATCTTATGACGATTGTTAGTATAATCACAAGAAGTATTATGTACTACATTCATTAATTGCTTATATTTTTCCTTTGCATTGTTTACTTCTTTTATTTTATTTTGTTTATCCTGTTCAGCTTCAATTCGAATGCGTTGTATTGCATCATTCATTTGTGGTGAATGATACGCAAAATATACCCCGAAAGCATTGTTAGACTCTATATTGCTTAAAAGATCAGGATATAATCTATTATTGAATTCAGTAAAATAAATGTAAAGATTGTGTGCTCTGATCATATCTTCTCGGTTTGGTAAAACTAAGAATTCGAAGAGCTCTAAAATATTTGGAATGTGTAAAGAATGAAACTGCAAACGTTCAAATCTTTTATCTTGACATAATTTTTTATGTATGCAACAAATAATTGTTAATGATGTTAGAATAAATCGACTATAACCAATCGGATCTGTTGCACTATCTTTTAGCCAATAGTAATTCAATGCCTCCTTTTGATAGTCATCAAAAAAATTCAATAAAATTTCGAAACGATTCTTTGCATTTATGATTAGTGATGGTCGGTTTATCCATTGTTCTAGACGGAATTCCACCCAAATTTCTATATAAGTCAAACATGTTGCAATTGTATAATTCATTTGCTTTATTAAAATATTATACGACGGTATATAATCTTCATCATTAAAATTCGTGCGAATACCATTATATCTAAAACCTGAGAATAATTCACATGTTTCATTTGAATTGTTATTATTCAGATATGCCTTCAATTGTAAACATGAATATTGATATATCTCAGGATCATTAAATTTTATAGTATTTAGTGATAACGGCTGGCTCCAGTGTTCATTCATCTGAATGAAATTTAGTAAATTTGGCTTTGGAAGAACTTCATCTACTTTCATTTGTATTTCATGTTTCATATATCGAAACCATTCCATCATATGATTTGATTCTATAGACGAAAGTAAACTTTCAATTTTATTTAATCTTCGTAGAATTTTTCGAATACAATGAACTAATAAATCAGTGGATGTACTACTAACATGTCTTTTATTAATGATATGAGTAAGAAAGTGAGTAATTAACAACTTATAAGCAATTGTACCCACATGTCCCAAACGTTTGATTAGAATTGTATGAAATACTACTTTTATGGTCATCCATAAACCTGAACGCCGAAATGGTAATAATGCATCATTCCATCTGATATGATCACGATGTTTCTTCTTAAATTGAATAAATGTATTTGAGCTTTTTTCAACTTTTATTTGGTCGAACTGTTGTATCCACCATTGACATACATAATGTGATTCAGGAACGTCACGTATCTCATTAAATTCACGAGAAGCCTTATAAGATTTGGAATATTCAATTGTATTATGCATAAAATCCACCAACAGTTCACAATGAACTTTGGAGTTCAGCTGCAATCGATTAGACAATCTGTATGTTGTCACTGGAAAGTAAAATATATGATGTATTGGAGAAGAAGTTATTTTTTCATTTGGTAATAAAACTTGCCAAGCTGAAATCAATGCTTGATTGCTGTTATTCTCATCGATTTCAATTAAAATGGCAGCATTTTGAGCGTGAAAATATAGAGGAAGGAAACTTCCTGATGATAATTGTTCAATGGTAGATTGTATATTCAACACAAAGAAATTTTCTAAATTCTGTAAATGAGACCAGTGTTCAACGCATCTCATAAGGATTCGGAATGTTGGTAATATTGGTGATGTATTCTGCACTATGACTGAATTCAAATATTGCTTTATATATGCTAATATCTTATATTCATATTGATGATTATGTTGAATTAACAAGTCACTGTCAGCAGAAGAAGGCAAATAATGAGGAAGAAACAAATGATTTAAAATTGATTTATTTAATTTCTCTAATTCGGAAGAATTGTTGTTACTAAATAAATCATTTGTTGGCACCGCAAACTAAAACGACAAAGTGAGAACTCGAAGAACACTCAAAATATAGATATGGATGCATAGTGTGAATAACTTATATGAAGCGATCCACACACAATTATAGTTAGATGCTATTTTTGATCTTAAGAATTCTTGAAACAGTTATTAGAGAGAAACGTTCTGAAAGAACAAAACAGTTCAAATGTCACTTTAATTCGAAAATACAACGACATTGTAGAGATCTATTTTCAAAAATGACGTATGCTATTTCACGGATTAATTGAAACATGAGATTTATCTATATACTACGATAGAAGTACTATGTGTTTTCTTGCTTGGCTTGGTCATATATTAGAGATAGGTAAGTATATATTGTACAAAATGATTTTCAATGAAGTGACTAAATGAACTGCCAAGGTCTTAATTGTGATTCGATAACTATGACAAACACGCTTTCTAGGAGAGCAATTACGTTCTAAGCTTCTTTTATGTTTGTCAGAAATTTCTTTGAATTTAGTATTATTTAATCGTTGAGAAAACTTACTTGATTGATTTTCGTACCAGAATGTTCCTGAACATCAGTAATGGATTTGGATTTCTCCATATGTTGCGAAGACAATAACAATTTATCTATTCTTGAAACATGTTTAACTTCTTTCTTTTGCGATTCTTTTTTTGTTTCACCTTTTCGACTTTTGCATGACTTTGACTTTGTAGTATTAGTGGACGTAACTTTAATCTCTGTCTTATACTCACTAATTGATATCATATTTTGTGGATCCTGAAGTAAAGAAGTCAAACACTTCAAATTATTTACTAGAACATTTAATAACATTCACGTTAAGACTCTTTGATAGTTTTTAGATAATCTCGTCTCTTACCTTGTTATTATTTGATTGTTGAGAAAACTTACTTGATTTATTTTCGTACAGGAAATATGTTTAGCATGTTTCGCAGTAGAATGTTGATTAAGATCAGCAATAGATTTGAATTTCTTGGTACAATGCGTACAAGACACTGATTTATTTTTCAAACTATTTTTTACTTCTTTTTTCTGCCACAGTTTTTGCATTTCAGGTTTTTTATTCTTATCCAGCTTGATTGTTAAAGTATCGCTAGACATGATCTTATTTTCTCTCTGATGTTTACTAACGGATATCATAGATTGTGAATCCTAAATTAAAAAGATGGATTAATCGAACACTTAGTCAATGTTTCTTTCTATATACCTGTTCTTGTATTGTTGATTTTTGATCTTCTAAATTATTTGATGATAGAATAATAGTTAATGAAATAAATTGCACAGATGTTTGATGAAAATATTGTGCATATGTATAGTTGTATTTTAGTCCTTTATAACATTTTGAGAATGAAAGAAATAGTTTTTCATTGTCACTTTGAAGTTCGAGTTTCTGCATTTGGTTGTGGATCGTCGAAACATAATCATCACTCTCTTGTTCGCATTGATTGTCAACACCAAGTCCTGAGAAGAATTGCGTCGATTTACAGAGAATGGCATTAGAATAATAGACTTTCAGGCGTTTTTGTTTCTGTTTGTTTAAATACTTGAGATTAATATTCTGTCCTAAATCATATGCAGCACAAGAATTGTCATAATTCCATATATGATTTGAATAGAAAGATTGTTTTTTACGTTTCACCGTATATTTCGAGGATAAAATTTTAAGATATTCATGGTAACAATACTTAAGATTTTCGTTTTGAAGTTTAGTGATGATACGTGGTAAATGTTGATGAAAAGGTTTAGTGATCAAATATGATTCAACTTTTGTTTTTCCGTACTGTTTTATGACATGCTTAAAAATAGTAACCGAAGATTTATCATCACCATGCACGAGTAATACAAATGCAAACTTAGGTATCATTTCATCAAGGAATGATATAAGATCTGAACTAGACGAATCATTGCTTTGTGAACAATACGATGGACACAGATACACATGAGAATACTTTCTAAAAGTCCACTTGAGTTTTTCGTACACAAGAAGTTTAAGATCATTCCAAAATATGCAACACTTGCTATTTGATGGAATTTGAGGAAAATATCTTTCATGATCTTTGAAAAGATTGAGTCGACCATCGTCACAATGAAATAACACAAGCTGACGATATGTTGATAAAGCAGGCATTATGAATCTTTAGAAATTAATGTCAAATTGTTTATAACCTGAAATGAATATGAATAACAAAAAAAAAACATGTTTTGAAACATATATGGTTCATTGTTAGTAGAGTAGTGACCAATGTAGATGTGGATGATAAGAGCAGTAACAAACACACCCATATTCTAATTCAGTTGAATGAAAAGAAGTCATAGATATCATTTTATCTGAGTTCTTGTTATTCTGGAATCTGTAGCAAGTCAAAAATCGGAAGAAATTCTGTTCACTTTTGTCTTTATCCATTTCTCGCAATTCCATGATAGAAAGAAGGTTATCTATGATATCGTCATTCTGAAGTTTCTAGGAACTCCATCCATTTGCGAAATAATAATATCTTAGATAAAATTCTATCTATCTCTCCCCTTCATTGAACGGAATTCTTTTCAATTTCGTCATCACTATATTTTAAATAACTAAAGGTGTGGCTGTCGATTTGCATCGCTTCCCTCCCCTTGCACCGACATCTACAAATGTGCAAAATTCTAGAATAATATGACTGCTCCTTTCAAAATCTATAGTCAAACCTGACAATATATAGATCTTTCTATTGAACGTTTTCTGAATTATTTCTTGATGTTAATTACTGATGATCTATATTTTTGTCCTTTAAACTGTACTTACTTAATAATTGCTTGTATAGCTTTTCGCCGAAAAGAAAATGAATGTTGAGTAACTTCAAGTCAACTCAAATCTTTGTTTTTTTTTGCCATTTCTCTCACAGCTTTTCTCGTTTCTGTGTGATATGAAGAGACGAAAACATTTTTTTTTCAGTTCTCTATTCAATCTGTGTTCGAAAAAGTAAATAGTCGCTCCTCACATCACGCGCAGCATCATTCCCATGTCGCTTCTTTATTATTAAAACCGCCGGTTAACCGCGATTCGTGAAAAAGCCGACGGTTCGACCGGTTCATTTGTTTTTCATCAGTTTTCGACTCATTTTTTGATAAAATCAATATTTCTCTTTCTAACAAAAATCATTTTTTACTCAAAAACAACGATTTAAGCCTCTTTTAGTAGATTATTTTAGATGGCACTACAATTTTTTCTATTGGTTAATGCTCTAACTTATAGCAATTTTTCTAGCGCATCTTTAATGAAATATTCAAACTCGTAAATTAAGCAAAATTAGCCGATGTGGTTAGTACCGGCGGCTTTAGCGCGCTTACAAATGTAGGGAAGCGCGATTTCGACTCAAATCTGACAATTTTCTAAGAGTTAAAAAATATTCATCCAGTGAAAAATAAAAGTATATCAAGAAAAAAAATCGCCGGTTAACCGGCGGCTTCAGACCAGTTTTAGTGACATGGGATTAATTCTTCCGAGAAGGAATGAATCATATGAGTGAAAATCATTTTTTGTTATTTGATGACCTGTATGAAACGAAGCATTCCGTTATGCCAATTTGTCTAACTTAGAGACGGTTATTTTTTAAAATTTGATGAAAATCATCACTGGTCTTAATATTTTATATTAATATTTCTATCTAATTGAGCCACGATCAAACTTAGCTACAACAATGTTAAATTATCAATATAACTCATTAAATAAAAATAATATGTACAGTTAAAAAAAACGATATGAGTGAGTGTATTAATGACAAGAACAATTACAGCCGCACACTCACACCCCAGTCTGTTCCATAATCAGCTTCAGTCTTAATTCAAATTATCAAGAACAAGATCGATGTT